TTAGTTAAAGTGATGCCTTGACCTTTTTGTTTGTTTTTTGGAGGGTAAATAAGAAAATTTTCATTTCTTTAGGTCACCAATTCAAGGGAAGTATACTTTATTCTTTATTTTTATTTTATTTTATTTGATCCTATGTGCTCCTTTGTGATTTTATGTGTGCAATTGCATGATTTTTGAATGTTTTATTTTATTTTCATTTATTTATTTATTTAGCCACTTCAATTGTTTTGATTTTGTATATTTATTTTAATTTTTTTTATTATTTGGAAGGCAATTAAATGCCAAAATTGTAATAGTTAGGTTATTATTTCATTTCATTTCATTCTTTCCCCTTCTAGATTGTAGTTAGGACCCTCAAATGTAATAGTTAGGGTTTTATTTGCTTTATTTGCTTTGTGTGTTTTACATGTTTATGTGTTTACGTATTACTCGCTTTTTTAGGGTCTTGCATCTAGATATTATTCTTATGTGTTATGTGTTGTATGTGATTTATATGTTTATTTGCTTTTATTATGTTTTATATGATTATAATAAATGCATGTCGTCACCACACTAGTCCAACGCTAGTTGTGATCCCATTTTTCTGATTCCACACTAGTTCAACGCTAGTTGTGGCCCTCCTTTCTGATTTCACACTAGTCCAATACTAGTGAGAACTTATAAACATGGGATAGTCCAACGCTAGACCCTTAGGGACCATCTACGCGTTAGATCATGTTTATGTGACACAATCACGACATTTCATGCATGTTTTTCTACTTTTTAGGGTTTTTTTATTTTGCATGACATTTCCCTTATATGTATATCTCTTATCCCATATTTTTCCTATATGTATATTCCTTACCCCTATGTGTGAAATATGACATGTAGACTCGCATTCCATTTAAGGAAATTAAAACTAGATTAGATAATTTGCTTGATTAGATAGGAGAAATACCCCTCGAATATGAGATATGGACGAGTGTGGCTTCTTAGTCTTAGCACGCTCGTATTCCCTCTATTAAAGGGAAAATTGAAGTCATAAAGTGTTAGTTTCCCCCGCACCCATTATGATGCATTCCTTTGTATATTTGTATAATTATTATTTTCTTTTCTTTCCTTCGAATTTCATATTTTCTGCATATTCGCGACCTCTTCAAAGAGTCAACTTGGGCATCACAATTAATGTGATTTGCACCAATTAAAATTCGAAGAGACATATTGACCCCCCGATATCCTCCTAGGTTTAGGTTTTGCATCCATATAGTGACATCCAAATGTGATAAATTCTTAGGTTAAAATAAGAAAATTTTTTATTAAATCACGCAACTAGCTCTAGGCTAGGTTGAAAGGGTGCCTTGGATTTTATCCTTACCTTCCCTTTCTTCAAATGTGACTCTCGAACACTTTTCTCTGATTTTCGTAGATTTGGAGTCGTTTAAAAAGGGTTTGCTCTACTTTTTCTTTTAAAATTCATTTTAGGTGACTTGGTACACCTTAACTCAATACCAAGTGGCGACTCCTATTTTTTATTAAAAACCCTTTTTAAACTTTTATTTCTGAGTCAAAATCGTCGCACTTTTCAGTCCCATTTAGGCCCATTTCTTTATTCATTTTTCCAAAAACAAAAACTCATTTTTAATCAAAATTAAATCAAAATTAAAAATTCATTTTTCTCAAAAGTAATTAACAAATTCATAAACACGTTTATTTTTCATTTTAAAACGGGGCGCGACAAAGAGTCCCTCTTATATTCTGGCACATAATTGAACTATATTGTTCCGATCGTGTCATGTGTCAATTTGGGATAAGGCAAGAAATTTTGAAACCGGTTGACATTAATCGAGGTGGCCTACACCATTTGGATCTTTCCGATTATTCGGGAAGGAATTTGGTTCATTTTCATAGCGGTTGGATAAGATATTGGAATCGTTTGCAAATGCAGAGGTACCTGGTGTACCCGTAGCACCATTCAAACCTTCGAATAAGTATTTCGAGTGGTATCACAATCACACCATTCTATACATTACGCCTCCGATCCAGTAGCATGCATAGTTTGGGCAAATGTTGCATGGAATTTCTAGCCAATTTGAGTATTTAGTAAGTTACTACTACCTCAAATTTTAATTTATTTACTATTAGACAATAATTGGTAATAGTTTCTCCATCTTTGACAATGCCAGATGGGTACTATACAGCATATTGGCTGACAATCGCATAACGCACTTGAACTTGATGACAGTGAAGGTCGGTTTCATCCACGTCTGTTGACCATTGTTGATGGGGCATATGGATCAATGCAATACCTCCAGCACTTTGATCGCATGGTAGTTGGTAATTTTGACTCTTTCGATCATAATCTTTTCACGTCGTAAAATATTTCATTCCAAAATCCCGTGCGACATGTTCCTATACAAGGTGGGCCATCATCTAGTAGAGACAACGGCACAGGCATGGCTTGCAAAACGAAGTCATCGGTGAGACAAGCATTCAAAATACTAAGGCGGGCATTTAGTCTCGACACAGCCCGACTAGTAATCAATTCACCACATCTGTGTCTTTGATGATGGCAGATGCCCATGCTATGCGATCTATGCAGAATATACTGGCCTTTGACCCTCAAGTCACGTCATTCCCGCACTCACCGCATATTGGTCTAGATGCCATACCTTCACCATAGTTTCCGCCTTTTGGTACACATCCCACGACCTCCTACATTTTCCTGTATTTGGTGGACAATTTTCATCCTCATCACATGTGCCTCTATTTGGATATGCTGCCACTGCATCGGCCTCATCTTCTGCTTCTGAACTGCATCCAATATTCACTTTTCTTAGCAACATGTGTGGTATGTCTCCTATTTTAGACCTTTTCAATTATTATGGTTTTGGGCAACCTATGACTGTACCTATGTCGATCCAGCCCATATCTACTACTGGATGCGGTCAGTCGGGAGATTTTATCATGTATCATTCTCAAAATGATTATAATAGCAGTACGACTGCAGAGTTAGTCGAGGAGGAGGACATAGGACTTTATGCTGCTTCCATAGATCTTGCACCTCCAATCGATGCACCGCAGGAGCTTATAGTTTTTCCTGAACGTTACAGGCAACAGCCCAAAAGATTTTGCTGTCCGCCCACAACACCAGGTGATAAAGGCAAGGGCAAAAGGCGTACCAGGTATTGATATTATCATTTCCTGTACATGTTTTTAAATTTTGAATATTTCAATATGGGGATTTAGCGTTATTTTAACCTTTTATTATTTGAATGCTTATCGTTATTTTTTAAATTTTACCATTTCACCATTTCACGTTATCAAATTTTTCTTCTTTTCTATTTTTGCCTTTTTTTGTTTTTATATTGCACAATAAATTTATATTTATAAAATTATAGTGTACATTAAAAATTACTTTTTTTGTTTAACTACCTACTATCATATTTACTTCTACCTCTATTCTTATACTCAGTCACTGCCATTTAATAATTTATTGGTATATTTTATTTGGATAAATATCAATTTTCTGTACATTTTATAAAAAATTAAAATCAAATCTTATACATAATAATTTTAATGATTATTTTTCAAAGATTTCAGAAATGCATCTTATTGTAAATTGAATGACATTTTTTGTTTAAAAAAGCTTTTTTTAGGGTTTAACATAAGATAAGAATAATTAATTTAACAAATTTGTCTTCATCTTTTTCTTACGTTTTAACTTTGGAAAATTTTTTAACTAAAAAGGCTGTCGGGCTTAGTCAATCAAGCAGCATAAGTTTTTAATTAAAAAATTTTAAAAATTTTCCTTTAAAAAATTTTAAAGAAGGGATGATATCATAAACCTCTCTTCAACTTTCTTTTAATATCACTTACTACTCCAAAAATTTTAAACATATCACATTCTTCCAAGATAAAATCTTTAAAAACCTTAAACTATACTTTTATATTTTTTGTTAACCAAAAATACGCTTAAATGACTTTTATATGCTTCATTAAAATTTCTCATTTATATAGGCGAGGATGCCGCTTTGGTGAAAGTCTAGCTGGCTCCAAAGCTAAAGCTCTAAAGTTTTGGCAGGGAGAATTGAATTCCAATAGAGCTGGAATCTAGCAGCCTTCTTTTTGGCTTTTTACACCACATCCCGGAAAGGAGTTAACGACAATTTTTTTTGTTTACTTTTGCAGCTCCTGCCACAATTAATTTAGCGAAGATTTTGTAGCTCCTGCCACAATTAACTCTTGCAATCTGAAAAAAAGATTCCAGTCAATGGAATCTGAGCTCACATGTCTAATCGAGACCAGCCTTTTTTTTCTTTTTTTTTTTTTTTTTTAAACTTTTGCAGCACAGCCCAACAGGTCTGACACAACTGGTTGCCGAACTGACAGCCCCACAGCCAGTATTTTTAAAAAAAAAAATTTCATTTGCTGTCAAGCTGTTTTCTTTTTTAAAAAAAAATTTCGATTTTGCAGCCAAACTGACTAAGCCTGACAGTAATAGTTTTGCACTAACCCATCGTCAGACCATCACTCTTCCAAATTTTTTTTGGCAATATTCTGAGTAATTGTCCTACTTTCAAATGATTTTCCATTTTGAAGTTATAATTTGTTACTCAAAATTCACCTATTAGTTTTTAGACTTGAATACCCAGTAACTTCAGCCATTTCATCTTCTTGACCAACAAGAAGTAGTCATAGATTGCATACAGTTATAAATGTATGTACTCATTCTTTTTCCATTAGATATGTAAGCATTATATGTGTAGTATATAGGAGGAATAAGGAATGTGACCTACATTAGACGTAGATATAATCCTTTTTCAAGAGGCATAGTCCACTTCATGAGTGCCAGCATTAACTCATAAATTTAGTTTCTAAATTCTGCTAGAAGCTAAAAGCCAGATAAAAATCCAAGAGGATCAATGCAGCAGGTCAAATCATGATGGAGCCAACCTCTTTACAAAGTGCTGCTACCTCCCTCTTCATGAGCAAAACTATAGAGTTCAGGTAGTAGTTATTTGCTGGATGTTACACACATCTGTGATCATACCCAAAAGAGCATGAAAAATGAGAAATATGTTCAAGGAATTTAAAAACAGTTGACATGAAGGTACCGTGATGTAGAAACACTTACAAAGAAGAAGTTATCAAAAGCTCGTAAAATGAAATGATGCAATTGTAGGTAAGGCTTAAGGCTTAATACTGTGCGTAAAAAAATTAGAGCAGAAAATCAGCTGTAAGTAGGTTATCCAATATCTATGGGCTAGGGCAGAAGGTCTATGCTATGCTTTACTTTCTCTCTTAATGCTTTGATCTTCAAAAAGCTAGTTATTCTCTTTCATAGAAATAAAGCAAACGAAAGTGGAGAATCGAAGCAGAAGAGCTGGACAGCGTATTTGGGCCTTAATTTCTCACTCTTTTCTGCTTTCTCTCGTTTCTCTCTTCTTTTTTCCCGATTCTGAATCTTCAATCTGAACTAATTCCCTCTTTAGTCCCAAAATTATAATCAATATCCTGACACCCACATCCCCGCCGGCCGCCAGTCCCCAAAACCAAAAAAAAGAGTGGAGGATATCCGAGGATCCGGAGCTCGCCACCACCGTCACCACAACAACAAGGTAGGTAAAGCTCCTTTTTTTGTTTTCCCTATCCTTAATTTTCTTCTGGTGATTTCTGACGTTATGTGGAATGTTTTATTATTTGTTGATTTCGCTGCTCCTCATATCTGCTGCCGTTTTAATTTTCTTGAATAGTTTCACCAATTAGTACTGCTGTGAGTGAGAATGAACGAAATTGATTGCTCTTTGTGTTGATGAAAATATTGGGTTGAAAAAAATTTTGATAGTTTCTTTTGCCTTCTAGATGTATGATGGAAAGCTTAACTGAACAAATTAGTTTTGCCTTTAACAAACAAATATAGTTTTGCCTTTAACAAACTTGGGAGTACAGTATGTTGAACTGATAGATGGAAAGAAAGAAACATGAGAAAGAACTTAGACTGAAGTCTTGACAAGATAACAACAAAGAGTAGATAGCTCTCCTGGTACTGGTATAAGAAGAAGTGTAAAGAGACGTGAGAAGGCCGAAGGGGTATTTCTTAACTGTCTTGATGAAGTGTAAGTGGAAAGCCCCTTTGGACAGACTTGTATAGGAGCCAAGTTAAAATTTTAAGGTAAAAAACAAGAGCATTACTTTATTAAAGTGGGTTTGTGACCTAGAAACAGCATGAAACTTCTTAACCTGTGGGAATCTTGATTCTTTTTCTTGCTTCTAAAAGGCACTAACTTGTATGGAATATTGTCCTATGGCTGTTCCCTTAGCTCTTTCATTTGTTTGAATGAAATCATCAAACAATGAAAAATGAAATTGTCAAACAATGAAAACATTCATACTTTTCTGGTGTTTCTTGTAATTCATGAATGCAACAAACATGTACTTTCTTTGTAATTAATTAGTGGGTGAAGGTAAACAAGGATTTCACATCAATCAATATGTGTCTATTTTTTTCTTTTTTCTGGGGTAAGTGGCCCTTGTCAGATTGGATTAATCAGCATACACAAGTGAAGAGACAATCCCTCTCATAAATGTCGGATTAATAAACATATAATGCACACAAAAGTAACAATTTTTTGTATTGTTTGATCATGCACTAAGTACAATTTAAAGAAATTGACCCTACAAATTAATGGATTATGCAAAAGCATCCTCTAATTGCTCCACATCTGTTCATGACTTTTGTGGAACTATTTGTGGTTTAGTCAATAGACTCTGGCTTCTAAAAATCTGATTTGTGTTACAAAAAAGGAGAATTTCATGTTTGGGATACATGAAGTGTTCAAATTAACAGTAAAGTTTAGTTGTTATGCTTGTAGAAAAAGACCTTCGAAAGTTTGAAAAGAGCAAAAAAGGAGACTGTTTCACTTCAGTGTCAAAAAGAAATGAAAAGATCTTTTACATTATTGTTGTTATCTTCGATTTGGAAGGCATAGTCAGCTGCCATGTGGGGATAGCATGATTTGAAACATGGCAGTTTTAGATCTTAAGGCAAGTTGAGTGCCCACGTGGAAACAAGAAATTCAAATGGACTTGCTCATGACATGCTCCAATTAAAGAGGGCATACTTTACTGGTAGTTTTGCTCTTGTAAAATATTTGGGTAAGTGGGCCTAGTTATGGATCATTGCAACTTTGGAAAAGGAGGGAAAAAAAAGAGGATGAAGAAAAACCAAAATAACACCACAAACTGGTTTGGCTGCCAAGACACCTGCCACCTATTTAGAAGAGGAACAATTTTCCATTTTTATATGATCCCAAAAAAATGACAGTTCATTGAGCACTATTATTCATATATTTTTATGTGGAGCTTCCTAATTTATAATCTTCAAAGTAAAGGACATGACAAAAGAATAGCATTGTTAATAGGTCATCTATGTTACATTGAGATAAGTTAATAATAGTTGAACCAAGGCTGGCATAGATAGTCTGAAAGAGAAATAACTTGGCTTTTACAGGGTAATCTCTCTGGGTTTAAAGAGGTTTTTCTTTGAGTAAATGAGTTTCCAAGGAAATGTATGTTGGAGTTAATCTTTAGTCTGGCCATTGAATTGATACTTTTTTTGCTTTTAGCTGATCTTTTTAACAACTCGATGTTCGTGGAGGACAGAAACATATTTAATTTTTGACCTTACCAGTTATGGTGTGGTTCAAATTTTTTGATTGCATGTAGTACATCGTAATTCTTCATACATATTATATAATTACTTAGAGCTTACAATGAGATCAATGATAAAGACTGATCAATCTATTTGATTAAGAATAATGAGATAAGGAAAGCTTAGGGAAATTAAATTCATCCACTAAAAAAATTAGAGAACTTTGTCTTTTGAAATTCAGATTTGCAGAAAATGCATGACTCATTGTTTTGTTTTCTAATCTTTCAGCAGATTCTTTGATACTTTCCTTGACTTATTTTTTGTAGATTAATTCTCTCAGTTCCCTATTAAGAATCTCAGAATTTTCATCCACAGACACACACATTCATTCCCTTTAATTGCCTCTATTCAACTCTCTCTTTCTCATTCCATGCACATACTCAGACCATCACACACAAACGCGCACAACCTGCACAATAAATTCTGGATTGTTTTTAAATAATTTAGATGGGGTGTTTTCTAGGGTGTTCTTTAGAATACTTATACTGTAGATTTTTTTTTTAAATGTTTGGATGGGATTTTGGACTGTTTTTGGGTACTTTTCAAAGACATACTACGTTTATCCAAGTGGAGCCTTTGAAATTTGTTTTCTCTGCCATAAAGCACCCCTTGCTGCCTTTATTGCCAGGGAAACCCTTAGCAGGCGCCAGTGCCTTAATGACTAAACAAAAGAATGCTCTTCTCCAATTGTAGCAGCTTCAGATTTTTTTGCTCTCACTGTCCCTCTTCTATGCTGCACTCTCTTCCCAAACACATCATCAAACGCCGCATGCTTTCTCTATCATCAGCAAGTAATGAAATCCCTTGATGTTTGGTACATCATGGATTTGTATGTATTCAATTACTTGTATCCTGAAATTTCTTTTTTTTGGGACAGACATGGAGGCAGAATCAGCTAGTGTGTTGGTGCTTTGTGGGAAATCCAATGTAGAGAACGAATTTGCTCTATCATTGAAGAGTAATAATGTTTTGAGATTTCTGGATAGCAATCCTGTTTCAATTTGTCTGCATTCAGAGATTAGGAATCTGCATTGCGATTCTGAAGGATTCCAGGTTGATCATTATATGGATGTTCTCTCTACTTCACAATTTGGAAGATTCTTAATGTACTCTCCAAGATTAGGCTCCACACACGATGTAGTTTCACAGTAAGCTTTGCTCGTTTGTTTCTTTGTTACAAGTTCTTTAAAGTAATTGATTGTCAATCAAAAAGTATTGGAAAGTGATAGTGCTTCATTTTCTATGCAGTTAAACTGAAGTCATATTAATTGGAAATTGTTTAATCTGTGCCCTAGCTTTCCAAATTTATGTTTTAAAATTTCAAAATGTTGTGGCCCAGGTGCGCTTTTCCTGGATAAATCAAAAAGTTTAAAAGAAAAAGGCATCGTAACTGGAATTTGGCAGAAGATGGAAAGGTTGAAAGCTTTGAGGTTGCTGGAAATTTTTAAATTGAATTCTTAAAGTTCTGATTTGAATCATCATGCTAAAATTTGAACTTATGCATACAGCATTTTAAATTGATAAAAGTTGGTTGTAAGTTACTGATGTTCTTATATTTACTTTGGCAGCAATTTTGGTGAGCTGCCAATTGGTGCAGTCTGTGTTGCAGATGTGCAGACCAAAGGGAGAGGTACCACTATGTTTCGAATATTGGGTTCTATGCCATGTTGATTTGGGCTCTACTTTACATTTTATTTATACTCCTTATGCCTTTGAGCTCATGTGGTAACATAAAGGTCGGTCTAAAAACGTGTGGGAATCTCCAAAAGGATGCCTATTATTTTCCTTCACTATACAAATGGAGGATGGCAGAGTGGTGCCACTAGTGCAGTATGTGGTTAGTCTTGCTGTGACTGAGGCAGTTAAAGATATTTGCCAGAAAAAGGTAAGCACAATTAGTGAACATGTTTTCATCTGTCTTACATTTAGTTAATAAATGATGAATTACTGGTTTATTTGGTAAAACTTATGGCCATGATTAGATGAGTTGTGGATTTGGTTCCATGGTATTTTCTGGTCTAGTGCTGTCAAAATTAATTTATGAGCAGTACCATCACTATAATATAGTAGATGACAACAATAAACGAGAAAATTGATGATAAGGACAGTGATAATACTTTGTTTCTCTTGATAATTATTGTTTCAGTAGGTTGGAAGTTTTCAAAAGTATCTTTTTTGTTTTTGTAAAGCACGATTTTCCCTTTTTTTTCTTAGAAGTTCATACATTGTGACCATATCTTTTGTTTTTCTTGGCCCAATACTAATGAAGATATCATTTGATGTCTGATTTGTATTCGATTTTTCATATTCTTTTTTCGTCTTACTTGGGTGAAAAGTTGCAGCATGGACAATTTTGTAATTCTAAGAACTGTTGAATGTGTTTATTGGGGTTACGATAGGAGCTGTAATATAATGTACTACTGTTTCCTGCGGGATGTAAGACAGTATGATAGAAGATGTTCCTGTCTTTTTACTTCTTCCATCTGCTTGATATGGTTGGGATCTATTCTCCAGTATTTCATGCGCTCTGAAATCTGATAGTTCATGATTCATCATCAATGAAGTAAGTTAAGCAGGAGATAAGTTCGACAACTATTAATTAGGGATGAATTGAAGCAATTGGCACTCCTCGTAAGTACAGATACTAATATGTAAATAGATGTCTTAGATCAGCTTATAATCCTGAATTGCTAAAACTAAAAAATTTCTGGATAAATGCAAGATAAGTGTGCTTTGAATTTTCATGGTGTCATCTTCTAGATTATTTTAGTTTTCTAAATCTTCTACCACTGCTATTTAAATTGCTAGCCGATGTATAGGCTAGAATATTTTGTAATGGAACACTTACTGGGAAAAGCTATGTACTTGCCAGACTTGAGCTGGAAGTTAAATTTGGATGTATGTTAAGTAGATGCTCAGTATATTTTTTCTTGAAAGTGGACAATGTATATTTCTCGTGAAAGGTAATCTAGATTTTTCTGCTGATTTATATTATCTTACGGAAGGATAGAGTAATAATGATATCCCTTTCTGCTTCAGTTACCATAATGATTTCCTTTCTGAAGTCCAGAATATCTATTGCTGGGCTATAATCTAAATTCGTTCTGCTTCTCTATGGAACAGTAGAGTGATAAGAATTTCCAGCTGTGGTTCAGTCTGAAAATTGTGACTTGACTTCCCCTTTCTGATTATTTACCATTGAAAAGAGTGGTTGTACTGCAGTTTCATACTTAATTTGGGTTGGATTAGGGTTTTGAGAAGGGTGACTGCATAGCTGATGAAAATAGGATTCATTTCTGTCCTGCTTGATCTTTCCAATGCATGGATTAAAACTTAAATTTGCAGCGACATATTGTTTAGTAGGTTCTGTTGCTACTTTATCTGTAAAACAACATCATCATTGTTTCACTATTTTAATCAATACTTAATATTTGTCTTGATATGATATGATCTCTTTCAGGGCATACAACATCTTGATGTTAAAATAAAGTGGCCAAATGACTTGTATTTAGATGGCCTTAAAGTTGGAGGCATTTTGTGCACATCAACTTATAAGTCAAACAAGTTTAATGTCAGTGCTGGTAAACAGTCTTATCCTTTTCATTGTATCCAATTCAACTAGCAGTTTTCTGCCATCTGCTCAAGCAAACCTAATGAAGCTGAAAATTTTATATAAGCTTTCTATCATGACATTTTACAATGGCCATGTCCTAAGATTTCAAACATGGTATCTGGTATGATTGCATCATTGCATCTGGCATTGGAGGTTACTTAATGAATTTAGACTAGAATTAATTTCATTTGCTTTTTTATTTTTATTTTTGCAGGAATAGGCTTGAATGTCAGCAACGAGAAACCAACTACTTGTTTGAATGCAACTCTACAAAAATTGACTCCTGTTGCTCATGAACTACAACGAGAAGACATAATGGCAGCCTTCTTCAATAAATTTGAGGATCTCTACACTGTTTTCATGGGCCAAGGTGAATAATTTTTCTTGTAGTGTTTTAGGTCATATGACCATCTAGACAATTCTCAGTGTTCATCCCACCTTTGGTTCTCTTTTTCCTTTCCATTTTCCTGCTCTTGTGCTTAGTAGGTTAATTGCAAAGGTATGCAAGATAGTTATTCATGATAGAATGACTACATTTCCTGCTCCTTAGTATTGTCAACTTTTTGGCAGCGTGGAGGCTTCAATATGCTAGACCTATTGCTGTACTTGTAAAAATTTTTGTGAAATGGGGCTAATGTTCAATTGCAGGAATAACATTTTGGAAAAAACTCCTTCAAGCATTAAAATGCACATCCTCGATCCTAATGGATTAACCATGTTTCTCTTTTTTCCAGTGCTGTGAAAAATGGACTGCAGTTCTATTTACACATCTGTGTGATTGCATACATGAAAACATAACTATAAAATAGGTGAGAAGATTTTTGTCTATTGGGGTAAAATTGTTAGTATGAATTGCAAATTGTTGGTTAATTTGCATACTCCTGGTTGTTTTTAGTTCAAAACAGGATTGACTGTATGGTAGTTCCACATGACGATATAACTTGCATGAGATTTACGTCTTTCACCTCATTTTATGCAGGATTCCAATCTCTTGAGCCGCTGTACTATAAAACGTGGTTGCACAGGTGAAAGTACCTTCATCATAACACACTACATGTAGATGGTGTTTTTTCCTTGCACACTAGGGTTAATGGTACCCTTTAGAAGTTTGATATGTTGATAACTTTTCTTTGAAAGTTTAATGTTGCCTGGAAGTCTATCCCATTTTGTCCAATGCAGCTCTGTGAAGTGCTTTTGTGAAGATGTTATTTTTGTACTTCATTTATTATATTGTTATGGACAAATTTCCTTCGTTGCAAAATGCATGGGTTGTGGTTCCAAAGCAGCGTTTTTCAGGTATGGAGGGAAGGGAGGATGTCCAAAATAAAAAGCTTTACTTGCTTTTCTAATTTTGACAGAAAATGTTGCCAAGTTTTGTGGGCAATATGCCATTTTCTGTATTTATCGTATGCATGCTATTTACAGATATATGTTTGACAACTTAGTTTTCCTGCACCATATACAGGTAGAAAATGAGAGGTAGAATCTGATATACTGTTAAACTCTTGTTTCTATTATGCTGCTTCTGTGCAGTGGGCAAAGAGTTATAGTACAGGACAAAAATGATAATCAGGACCAAGTTGTGGAAAACGTTGTCACAATTCAGGTTAGCTTCTATAATCAATCATTGATATGAGTGTTTAAGTATACATGATGAGCCTAGAAATATCTAATCTATTTCTTGAATCTGACCAAAAATCTGTTAAGCTCTTGGTTTTTTTCCTTGATCTTTATATAGTTTTTTGATGAATAATTCATTGAAGTCTTCGAAAATCTAAGTTACAATTTTCTAGCCTAAATAGTGAATACAAGAAAAGCTTTTCACAGGCAACCGGGCCTGAAATTGATAGAATGTGAATAATAAGTATGTTCTAAGATTTGCTGATTTGAATTTGCATAGAGATTCAACCTGGGGAAAGTGGTTTACGGACAAATTATGGTGCTGGTGGGCAATAATATCCAGCTGACATCCTTGAAAATGGGCAGTTATGGGCCTTCAAATTGTTCATGAAGATCGTAAATTGGCAAGAATAGTGCATTAAGATTGTTTATGGACCTTCAACTTGGAATCTTTCCAAGATTCTGATGCATTACAACTTATATTTTAAAGGTAGGTGATCAAAAACTACCACGTATTAAAACTATAGACTAAGTGCAAAGCAGTAGCATTTTCAATCTTAGGATAAAAATCAATAAATAATAAATAAAGATGAAAAAAAATTCTGGTTCATGGATTGGATTGAAAATTGTTCTTTTATAATAGTTCCCTCTTGAAAGTTAGCGTACAGTATGAAAACATTGAAGGTTTTGACACCTTAAACCTGATTTAGACTGCATCATAACCTCAAATAAATTTTGCCAACAAAAAAGTCTTATCTCTATCATTTCCGTCGGATACTCTTGCTGGATTTTGGATTGCATTTTTAGTGATCTATTAAAAAAACTGTGTTAGGGGTAAGAGGACAGATGGAGGTTTTCCAATAGCCTTCTATATTCCTCATTGCCACTTGATGACAATACTAACATGCATTTTTTGGCTTTAGTTGCATGCAGTTGCGGTGAAATGCATCGTTGTTCTCTCTTGGCTGTCAGTAGGGAGTAGAATCGTATACAGTTGTGTTTCATGACATTTTTCTTCAATTCTGTTCTTGAATCACTAAAAATGAGAATAGTGATTCACATACGTATAAGCCCACTTGGTGGATACATATGAGAATTACATGGACAAAGTGTGATTAATGGTAAGGGAAGTAATGGGAACTGGAGTGATGATACCCTTTATGACTTTGCTGCTCAGTGCCTTGATGTTATATAGGATATTGTGTTGGCAGGTTCAAGCTTTACTACTTTTGCTTTGTGTCGTCAAATATGAGTATCTAATTTACATTATATATCAGAAAGAGTGGTTGTCATGCTATCCTCTTTCACCAAGTTCATTAGTACTATTTTCTGATTTGAAATGATGTCTCATTGTAAATGATCAGAATTGCAGAGTACTTTTTTGTTTTTCAGGGTTTGACACCATCTGGATATTTGTTAGCTATTTCTGAAGATGGTCAAACATGCGAGCTTCACCCTGATGGCAATAGGTGTTGTATAGTTTCTATAGCCTGATCAATACTCTATTAAATTTTCTATCATTTGCTCCTGAATTTTCTTTGCAAACTTTAGAATGAAATCCTTTATCAATCACATATGCATTGTATCATCTTTTCCTAAGAATATACTAAATTGAGGTACAGTCACGTATAATAAAATATGTAAAATAAAATACACAGGCGGTGATCAACAAGATGGAAAAAAAATTGGTGTTTTTTTGCGGATATAGAATACAAACTTTATCCAGATACAAACTTTATCAGATCATGCCCATTTGAAACAGAATGCTTGAGTTACCAATCACCGATTTCTATTTGCATAAAGATGTTCATGCTTAAAGTTAAGTTTTTTGGTCTAGTTAAAGCAAATATGCACATGTCTGGAAATTGGTATGAAGATACCATTTTTCATCTTTCTTCTATGTGATTAAAATGACAGCAGTTCAACTTCGGTCTACTAATACAGGTGAAACCAATTTTTGATGAGTTACCGTCCTGGATAGAGAGGATTTAACTAACCCTTGAGGTTTATCAAACTGGAAATACTAACCCTTGAGGTTTATCAAAACTAGATGATTGAGGACCATTAGGTCTTCATGTACCACTATTAAATCACATTCCATCAAGGTAGGTCCTTGTCTGGCAGGTGCTAGACATGGGGAATCCATCTTACTTATTTGGTGGAATGTGATTGCTGTTGGTGTACCATGTGGCGTACCTTACTATTTGATATTTTTCTGTCATGTGACCAACTGTTTCTTTCTCTTTTGGTGGTTGAATGGTAAGGAATGCTGTAGAGAAAGTATTGTCTCTACTTCCAATATGATTGGCATAATGCTGTTCCTAGAAATCTTTATAAATCTGCTCCAGACCTGGGGGAAATTTTATGGCAGGTGGTTATGTTGAGCTCAGCATATCAGGAATTGACAGAAGAGGAACAGTATATTAGTTAAAGTAGCAACATTTTCTGGTGGATTTGCCCAAGTAGGGTGTATATACGAAATCATTCTTAGTACACAGAAAATGTGAATTGAACGTTTTACTGAACCGGTAATATTTATGAAGATTTCACAGACTAGGATGAAGAAGAGTCTGCACAATTGTCCTAGGATCTATAATTGGACTGGCAAATGCTTTAAATCTTAAAGCTTTACCATAGTTTTAACTAAGTATTCTCAACATTCTCAACATTGCTAGGATTTTTTGCAACTAGAATTTCAAGACGTATGCTCTGACTGTTTAAATAAGTTGCCATTCAATGACAAAGGCTTGTTGATGGTTGTTGCCTGTGTTCCTATTTTGTTTCTTTTGGTGTAGATCTTTAGCATAAATAATCTATTCACAACTTTGTTTACTGTGTCTTAAGCTACTTGGAGCTTTCTTTAGTATGAGTAATCTGCTTAGATCTTACATTATTTTGGGGATTTTCAGGCCAAATACTATGGTCAATTCTACGCTACATCTAAAAGTGCCTTGTAGTGTTTCTTACTTGTTGGATTTACCTATTATACCCTTGATTGGTGAATAAAATAACTCGTAATGTTGGACAAAGATGTCAATTAGCTATGTAGATAGTCAATATCTCCTTATTCTCTCTAAAAAAAAATAAAGATTACCAAGCTTTTATGTAGTTGAGCACATGGAAGTGCAGCAGCATCTTTAAAGATATTTCTATGTTCAACACATCTAAAACATTTTCGGTTCATATTAGATAGGTAAATACAAGTATGTGCTAAACTTAAACATATCGTGTAAGGCATGTGCTTTTTCTAGCATACAAAAGTAGATCTTGCTATTAAAATGTGTTTGTAAACCATTTTCTTGATTTAAATAAAATGCATTACAAAATATTGTTAGCTGTCTCTCGATTCTCCTTCAAGGTTGTGAATATACTTGGGGAAGTCATTAATCAACAATGATGAACCACCAGCCCAACCACTAAGCCATTTAAGGCTTGGAGTGGTTTCTTACAAAATCCAGACGGACGCACCGTCTGGTCCGGTGGTGGTTCAGTCCGCACAAGCCCCCCTAGACCTAGTTGGGTCTCTCCGTTGGATTAGGATTGTGTAGGATATATTATAGATAAAGTAACAATTGACAAAAAAAAAAAAAAATTTAATCAACAAGGGTGACAGTTAGTCAAAATCATATCTTTGATTCCCTTCTTCCTTCTCTCTAGAAAGGGTTGGAGGGCGTAATTGGGATCGTAATAAAACTAATTACTACGATATCGTGTGATCATTCTTGCTACCTGCAATTCTTGGGGCATATATTTGCATGTGCGTTTGCATGTGAAGGGCAGTGCCCTTTACCTATTAGCACATGACTTTGTTTGTATCTGGGCTTAACCAGTTTATTTTGTTGCTTCTGCTGCAGTCTTGACTTCTTCAAGGGACTTATCAGAAGAAAACTTGCATGAAGAAGATAGGTTAATGCTTTTGCTGGTGGAAAAGAATCATTTCCTAATGATATACACATGTAGTTAATTAATAATTATCCTGTGTCTCTTTACTCATGAGATAGACATATTGATACTTAGCCAATTAATTGGTTCTTGTTTGTTAAGTACTTTCTGGATGTGATATGGTCAATCTTTTTCTCTCTTTTTTTTCTTTTTTAATTTTGGGAAAAATGATATGGTCAAACTTAATTATTTTTCAAAGAATAGTAAAGTTATTTTTCACTTCCTTGAATTCTTGTTTAGACTTTAGATGTATGACTTCTGTGGGACTTTTAAGAGAGGCGAACAACAGTGGTATATTCTTGGTTATCTCTCAGAATATACTAATTCACAAAGCGCCATGATTTAGTCTAATTATCAATTATAGGCACATATTTGGTGCCTTTATTGCCAGTGGCGTAGTCCCTATATTATTATACATGAATTTTTCCTCTCCCTTTCGGCTTTTGGGTTTAATGTTTCCCAAAATTGGTCAAGATTTCCTGGATTTTTTTTTAAAGTTTTGGTTATGGCTGCAAAATATAAATACGAAAGCATCAGAATGACTAGAAGAATAAATGATTTTCATCAACTAATGGTGGGGAAATTAAGATGGGCAGTGGTGCTAAAGTGAATAATAAAATAAAGAGTGTATCCAAATTGTGAATCACAAAGGCTTGAATGGATGCTTAAGAAAGTAAGTTGAAAATGTGTCAACTTTAACCCCTGATAACTAACTACCCGATTGGCATACGCTACGGAATGGCAATAGCAATGGCTATAAAAAATTCTTCAATGGCAATGAGTATTGCCAAAACCTTATTGATTGTTTGGTATTGTAATCAGAAGGAATGGGTTTTCAATTTTTTAAAATTTTTTTTTTTCCATTTTCCCTTCTTCTTCCTAAGTTCCAATGCTAAGCCCTAACCACCATCACCACCAATGTGGCAAGTCCACCACATCAACCAATTCAAAAAATTTATATGCCAAATGAGTGTCAAAACAATCATCTTACTTTGGAGAAGTTAAATTTAAAATTAGGGATAATTTCAGAAACCTCAGGGGAGGTTTCTGACAGTCTCACTCTCCTCCCCTGTGGTTTCAAAAATATCACATACCCCCTCTGAGGTTTAGGATTTTGTAACAAAATCAGTCCATGATGTCAAAAGTGAACATAAAAAAGTGTTTTCAGGAAAGAGAGGGAATTTTGTTTCCATAAATGCCCCTGAGGTAAGTGTACAAGTTATATTAGTGAAATAATGAAAACTAATAAAAATCAAAAATAAATTAGAAAAAAAGGGATAATTTCAAATACAATATGTTATTCATCAATAATATTATATCAAAAGCTTTTACTAGATGGTTATTTGTTCCAATTGCATATTAAATCAACCATTAGTACTTATGAGAGTGCATTAAATATTTAGTAGAGAGGTAGTTTACTTCAATAAGTAGCATGCATATAAATACTTAGTGAATGTACAATCTGGTTGAAATAATGTACACCGTATTATCGACCAAGTACAATGCATAGAAATTGTTGAACATGCAGTTATTTGTTCACATGCATATTGCAATTAGTCATCGTAGCAATATGCATAGTGCAATGGTATGTATACATTTGGAATGGTTATTGGTGCTTTGACTCACTTGTGCATTTCCTTACAAGCTGCAGTGGTTATGTAATTTTATCTATATGACTAATACTAATTTGCCTATAAACACCTTACACGGGGTGATCTATGAGGTACAATCAGTTTACAGATATATACATTATGTTAGATGTTAGTTACTTGATTGTGTATATCTATAAAAGGTAGTGTAATGGTACGCATAAATTTGGAATGGTTAGGTGTTAAAAAAAATGTACATCATGTTAGATGTTAGTTATTTGACTATGTATACATGTAAAAGGGAGATTAGATATAGCGTAGAAAAAAGTAATTACGTGAGTTGGAATGTATTTGTCCTGATAATCACGAAATATTAGCTGACTTGTGAGGGTATTTAAGTCTTTTTGGCCATGATGATGTAAGAAATGGGATCTAAATTCTGACATGGGAGGTTTGTGATATTTTTGAAACCACAAGGGAGGAGAGTGACACTGTCAGAAACCTCAGGGGAGGTATCTGAAATTATCCCTTAAAATTAATTTGACATCACATTGTCCAATAACACATGGAGTCAAACTTAAAATCTTGAAGACACAAAAAAAAAACACAAGGTGATGCTATGTTTTGCCTGCAAGTCACAAAATTAAGGGTGTGAAGGTTTCATAAAAAAATGTTTGTCAAAGTCACAATAATTGCCAAAAAAAAAAAAGCTTCACCCAAGCAACAATGGCCACCAACACCACCGCCACCTACTGACCATCAAGAGAAAAGAGAAAGAAAAAGATTCGAGGAGAGAGTAAGGAAGGGAAGGAGCATGAGTATGCTTACAAAAACACAAAAGGGAAAAGAGTACAAGAAGAAAGAAAGATTGGCGTCACTAAAGATGCAAACGAGTAGAGTCGAATCGACTTTGGACTTAATCGAGCCGAGCCGAGTCTCGACTTTGTTTTATCAAGTTCGAATTCGAATTTGATGAGTTCTCAATGTAACAGGTTGAGCTCGAGTTTAAAAAAATAAAAAATAATTATTTTTTTAAAAAATAAATAAAATAATAATTTTTTAACAAATAATAAAATATTAGGGATATATATGTAATTTTATTATTAAAATAATATATATATATATATATATATATATATATATATATATATATATATATATATATATATATATATATATATATATATAGACTCGTGAGCTAACGAGTTTAATATGTTTGAATTACAGTTTAAGTTTGACTTAGCTTGAACTCGATGTTGATTGAATTCAACTTGAACTACTCGCGAGCGACTCATGAACGGCTCGATTTGTTTGTAACCCTAGTCACCATGGACAGATGGCCGTATTTTCTTTCTTTTTGGTATTTTTCTTATGTCATTTGGCGTTAAATTCGTCAATGGGGTTCATTCCCCCCAAATTAGTCAGAAATGACCATTACCTACTTTTGGGTTTTTGATTGTGATTGAACCACACCCATAGAAGTATATCAAACATCATCTATGGGTATAAAGCACATTCTATACCCATGGAAGAGTAGAAAACCCACCAACCAAACGGTTGGCAAGAGCATTTATAATAAATAACAGCAAGGGAAAGTTTTGGCCATGTGTAGATTATGCAAAAATTTTGGATGGGAGAGTTTTTCCATACATATGTTCCCTCTTAAAAAATTTAATCAACTTTAATTTGTGATGCTAATTGAGAATATCAATAAAGAGTCATAGCATGTGAGAGTTTTGGACATCCATAAATTCATATTTTCGACCATGTTCAAATTATGAAAGAACTTCTTATCAAAGAATTTTTGCCATTCATAAATTCAATCTTGTAAGGAAACCAAAAGAAAATAAACTATGGAGACCTTATAGGAAGTAAAAGTAAGTCGTTGGTCATAGTTGATCTTGCAAAAAAATTTAAGCGGAAGGAAAAAAAAGAAAATAAAAGGTTAAGGGTGGAGTAAAAGATGAACGTGGACTTGGAGAAAGAAGAAAAGACGAGAGGACTGAGGTCTATGATCAATTCTAGAAAATATATTATGAAATAAAGATCTAAAGTAAAAACCATATATAAAATAATTTTAATATTTCTTATTATTGTCTTTATCATAAAAATTTTGAAATATTTTTTTTTTATAATAGATCTCAAATGCAAGGGAAGAGATGGGTTGAGTGGTATAAGAGAAGGAAGTGTAAATAAAAGGTTTCGGATTCAAAATCCCTCATTTACACTAAAAGAAAAATCTCAAATGCAATGCATAGGAATAGAGCTTTCGATTCATAATTATGGGCATAAAGATAAATATTACATTATTACAAAGATAAGGAAACCATTTGGAATAAATGTCATCGGAAAGACATTACCAGCATTCTATCCATTGTGATGCACTGATTCATAATTCAAATCAAAATAGTAATATTATTTGGTAAAAAAAATCTAAAAGTTAAAATGGTGTCAAATTTTTATCAATATGTGTTATTTTAAATAAAAACGGAGGAAAAAAAATTCTCGACCATGAAAGATAGGCAATGGTCTAATTTATCAACTTGAGAAAATTGTAAAATTGCTTAGAAAGTTGTGTTTAGTTATTGTATATTTTTGCAATTACTTATCATTTGTCTCGTTCTAGAATAATTTCTCTCTTTCATCATGTTGTACCTGAGAATTCAATATACTAAACTATTTATCAAATAAATAAGGGTTTGTCTAGGGCACCGCTATGATATATTTCAGGTGTCATATTTTTAGAAATATAAGATTAATTAGAGAAAGTAGATGAATACATGGACGGGTAGGTAAGACTAAATAGGCAAAGTATACAAATTCAAGAGAGGGTAATAATTGTTGGTATATGTATATACATGATAGGTTAGGTGAATGTTAGGTATGTTTAGGGCACTCGTTAGAAAAAACCCAATAAATAATTAGATTCTCATGGTTTTGTTAGATAATATGTTTTAATAACTATTTCGTCAGTCAATAATAAAGATTCAAGAGATATCCAAAGTAAAGCTAAAAAAATAAAAGATAACAAAAATATAAAGAGACATTTAAAAAAGAAAAAAAGAAACTGAACATACACATTATCACCTTTCTTCTCATTTCTCAATTTGCTACCTCTCTTACCTCGTGACCGCACTCTTCCCGCTACTCTTCCTCTCGCTTTACTATACTTCACTAACCTTGCAATCCCACCTATCCCTCTCTTGTCTCTCTTGCTGCATTCCTTCCACCTTTCAACCTTACCTTTCCCCCTCCAGTCATTGTTCACAACTCGTTTCATCATTTTCACACACTTTAGGCCAAACTCAAAGGCAAAATCATGATTTATGAAAAAAATTGAGTTTGGGTCTAAATTTTATAAAAAGGGAAAATCAGTTAAAACATTTCTCACATTTTGTCAAATGAATTTTTTCATCCTTCATTTTTAAAATAATAAATTTACATCCTTTATAAAATCAAGTCGATAAAATTTAGTTCCAACCTAAGTTTATTTACCACTTTTACCCTGAATCTATCACATAATC